GTTTGATTTGAATCATCACTATTATTCATTTTAAGCAGACTCGTTACCATTGCATCACCGAATGCAAGTTGGGATAGAGCTAGAGTGATCGTACACCTGATGTACAAATAGAACCTAAGCCACAGACGCACCATGATTTTCTAAGACCAAGGAACGGCTAGGGAATTTGAACTCGTAATTAATAGAGGTAATCGGTTTCGGGGTGGGTCAGTTCTCACCCTGATCGGGAACCCAAACAATCAGATCAGACTGGACTGGTTCTCTGTTTATGGAACCGGGAACCGACCCTATCCATTGTGGCCCGGTCTGATTCTCAGATTGGACCGAGACTGACAATAGACCCTTTTTTTTCTTTCAATAATAATACCTGCATCAACAAGTGTATGTTTCTTTAGTCTTTGGTTCCTTTCGTAAAGTTTTTTTCTACTTTTATTTTCCAAACTAAAGCTGGAGGCAAAACATAACCATAGCACCTCCTGCGGCTCTCTCGCTCTCAATAGGGTTGGTCGCATCGTCTAAAGGTTTCTCTAATTTTTGCCAAAAGGATGTTTGTCTACCGGACCACATCCAATAGAACTTATTGACAAAAAGATGTTTCTCTGGAACTGTCTAGAACCGCATACCGGTTCAGTCCAGTTGGTTGGTTTCTCGTGCCAAATCAGGAACCGTCTAGAAGCGGCCGGTCCGGTCCGTTCCCAAGTTGGATCGAGACCGTGCTCACCTTGAGTAATCAAGGGAGCTTCAAACCACATTCGAGTAAATCTCATCCAAATCGCCCAACCACATCAATAGTGTAGAGAATATGGGAGCAAGGACCACCTCTAATGACCTTCAATATGATAAATGTTGAATTTGCCATGGGATTGGATAGTCGAATTTGATAAAAGGAAAGCTGACGTTTATTCTTTTTATTTACAAATATTCGATTTATTAAAAAAAATAAAAAAAAATCCATCTTCACATTGCCTAATATCAAGTCATCAATTCCAATACATAATATCTAGATGAAAACTTGATAGCTCAATACGAATTCACAAGTCCATTGCAAATTTTGGATGGAAGCAATGAATGTGGAGAGGGGACAATTGTTTCACTTTACTGTTTCTTGGGCTTTTTTGGGCCAATTTTTGTGGGCTTTCACCATTAGTATTGGCAGCACAAATTTAATTTTGTTAAGTTCCTTGAAATTATTCAACTATAATTCCGTGCTGATTACTATTTTATGCATTTATCATGATGAAAATTACACAATAGTGGCATATGCATATATGTATATTATACATGATCATGCACTTCCGAAAGTCATTTAGTTAGGGGTGCAAATAAGATAGTTTATAGGGTTAATATCACGAAAAACCCCAAACTGGTACAGTGACAATTTTGTCCCAAACTATTTTTTTGTGACCACAAAAAATCCTAAACTGGTACACTTGTGACAAATTTACCCCAAACTAATTTTTTGACAACCAAAAATCCCAAACTGTTACATTTGTGATAAATTTACTCTTCGTTAGTTTCTGTTAAATTGAATTAATACCACAAAAAATCACAAACCAGTACACATGTAACAAATGGAGGGTAAAGCATAAAATCGATACATCAGCTAACTGTCGCGTGTCATTTAACAAAGTAATTTGACGGTAAAATTTAACGGAAACAAACTGAGGGTAAATTTGTCACAAGTATACCAGTTTGGGGTTTTTGGTGGTCAAAAAATTAGTTTTGGGCAAAATTATCACAGGTGTACCAGTTTGGGGTTTTTCGTGGTATTAACCTTAGTTTATTTGAGGTCTGCTCAATTTTTGTTGTTATGAGTAGCTTGGGTATCATAACAAGGAGAAATTGTTCTTGCCTTCTGATTCTAAAGTTATGGAGATGCAACATTGTTCAAACGTGATCCAATGCTGCCCTAGTACCCAGTTAAGTAGATATTAAAAAGATACGGACGTTAGACAACATCGTTCTCTTCAAAAACTTATTAAAACTGTTACGAGACGGAGTAATAATATTTTTGTATAGCATCCCAATTAATACTTCTCCTCACGTGCAAGCGTGTAAGTGGATTCCTACACGCACGAAACAAGATGTAAACATAATCACATCAAAGAGACGGCTCGCAATATTGCATGTTAAAGATTAAAACTAAGAAACGTGGCGTCAAAAATGCATTGTCGGGCCGGCGCAAACCCTTTCTCTAAGTCTAATTGAATCCCTAGACCCTTAGATTTTGGCTTATGCATTTTTTTTTTCTAGATTAGCTTACTTTAATTTTGAGTCTGGATTTCCTCCGGCACTTGGAATTTTGAAGTTTCCAATCGATCTAAAGAAACTAATTGGTGGCAACCTAGTGCAAAGCAGTTGTTAAGAATCGAATTCCCTTCGGCTTGCCCCAAACCTGAAGAGGGGAAGTCTTTGGGAGCTTTAGGTGGATGTATATCCTTGGGTTGGATCGTTTTCGAGCAATTCACCAAGCGATAGCGATTAGGGCATTTGTTTAGTATGTTAATCTGTTAATCAGTGAACATATGTTTTGCAAGAATTCAATAAATATTGGTTGACATAATTCGGATAATCTTGTTCAACTTGCATACGCATGTAGGCATGCATTAGTACCACATGTTTATTCCTATTTTACTTCTATATATGAGATGTAGATACACAAAGCAAAACAAGGAGGATTTGAAAATATTAGCGGGTAAATAATTTATTTCAGATACATTACTTTCAAAGTTGTTAAACCAAGATCGACATAGAGCGATTGATTATCATGTTAGCCTCTCTCTTATTAACAGAGAATTGCATTATGGCCAAGCTTGTCATTATAGAGATTAATGATGAGGGTGCATTCATTACCCAACAATGGCCCAAATTACAATGTAAAACGATTCTTGAATTTTCTCATGCCTACTAAATCTAAATTAAATTTTACCCATACTGCGACGATCAATAAGTATTACTTAAAAAAAACTCTAATTATATTGTTTTTCTCTTTTTCAGTTAATATATAGAAAAAGTTATAGCGAACTCAACCGGTTCCTATGGCTTTAAAAAGGTAATGAAATCGAGACTCATATGCGATGTTCCTCAACGCATTCTACCCTATCGACATATATTCGGCTGGCTCATGAGGGGAGGGCTAGCCGGTGCCGATGAGCCCTCGCTCTCGTTCAGTGTCCGACGGGACGCATCCACGCCACGTGTCGCATTTCTATCGCATAGCATTGACGCGTCAGCATATACGACGGAGTCCTAATAAAATGGTTCTATTACACCGAACCATGCATGTAAGTTAAGGGTTTGTGCCCAGGAGCATCTCTGCTTTGTGAAGCGAGAAAGCCTTGGAGGGACAATGCAATTCCATGTCTCCACTAGTATATGTTACGTCCCTAGATTTCTTTCATTAAGGCCGAAACCATATACTATGTCGCCCTTTATCTGTCATTAGCATATATTTTCTGGGTTTGAATTTGGTAATTAACTCGATAACTAGATTTTAATCGTTCACACCCCATTTAAAAATTAATTTCGAGCCCAATTCTTATTCTTCTTATTCCCTCAAATTCAGCGCCATACGCATCAGATATACGCGGTCCCGTGATGAGATGCGTGCGAGGACGAATGTTAAGAACACACGTGATTTGTGGGGGCTTTCGCAACACATGTAGTCATTTTTTGCGCGATAATTTAAATTTTTTCACTCGACTTTCTAACGAGGTTAAAAAGTTTACGAGCGGTTTTTGGGGAGAAGGAAAGCGAATTATGAATATACCATACTGATTAATGACAAACTATAGGTAATTTTCACATTAAAAAAATTGGCTCATGACTTTGTCCTCAAGTACACTAACGCCAAAACCGGCTTTCATCAACGGAAAATTTTCCCCGATGCCCATGCTACAAGAGGCTTGGAAAGATTTGAACTCGTGACATTTTGTTCTGATACTACGTAAAATTTTGTGAAATCACCGCCAACTATTCTAAATAGTTAAATTATTACATGAATGTGTTATTTTATATTTAAATATCCTAATAAAGTGGCGGTCGAAGCAAGGAAATAAGTAATTTAGTGATAATATATCTCATATCTCGTGCGCAATAAAGCCACGAAACAATTCGTCCCCATAAGGTTCAAAGACCACGAACCCATTTGTCCTCACATATAAATTTGGCAAATTCGATCTTTTTCAAGAAAAGTCTTTAAATGTAATTATTTGAGAGAGAAAAAAACATGAGAAAAGAATTCAAATGATAATTCGACAAACAAAATATATAAATTGTAAATGCGTCGGTCGCATTGCGCTCTACGAAATAAATTAATCGAATTATGCAGAAGAAAAGACTATTAATTTCAGTAATTTTAGTATTCTGCATCGCATAAGTATTAAACTTTGTTACGAAGAGAGGGACCAAAGCCTAGCAAGCGATGCGGCAATTAAGGTGCTACTTGTCCGAAATTGTTACCGCGACTTTGTACGAATGAAATTGTTTAATTAGTAAAAAGTCATACATAAAAATAATAATAATTTACGCGGTATTCCGTAATGATTTCACTAAAAGAGAGCATTTTTACACAAAGTGCGAAAAGGAAGACCTCTTCTTTTAAAATAGGAATGAAAATTGAAAAGAGAAATGGTGTAATTTGAAGAGGAAAAAAAAAACTTATTAAATCCAAACAGTAAATTGTCTCGCCAGAAAAAAATCGAACAAATTATTTTCCTTTTCTTTTCTTCGAAAAGGTATTAAAATAATTTATTCTTTTTTCCAGTCTTCTTGAGGTTCCATCAAATTACATAATCAAAATAATTTAAGGAAAAACCAAGGAAATTCTTTTTCCAGATTAGGAAAGTCCCACTCCAAAGAGTGAAGTTTCAAAACTTGACTGTCAAGATTGGCGACGTCACTCGCCGCGTCCCATTCCAACGGTAAACTATATTGCTCCTCTCCTCCCTTAACCTCCGCCACCCTTCCTCGTCTTCCTTCCTCTTCTGTTCTCTCCAACGTTGTCTGTCTTCTCTCTTCTTCAGCTCTCTCTCTCTCTCTCTGAATTTCTCCCGCAGCTCTTGCCGTCTGTCGTCCTCGCTGAGTGCTTCTCTGTTCCTTCCACCGAAACCCCATGAAGCTCATCGATTTCTTGGGCCCCGGATCGCCGACCATCGGCGACGGCCCGAGATGCGATGTCCACTCGCCGCCGCCGCCGTCGTCGTCGTCGTGCGTTTCTTATCTGCACGGTCAGGAGAAGAAGAAACCCATCGGCGACCGCCCGAGAGTCGATGTGCACTCGCCGCCGTCGACGGATTCTTGGTCGTTCGTTCCTCGTCATCTGCACGATCAGGAGAAGAAACCCATTGGCGACGGCCGGAGAGGCGAGGTCCGCTCGCCGCCGTTGACGGACTCTCGGTCGTGCGTTTCTTATCTGCACGATCAGGAGGAGAATCGCGACGAAGGGTCCGGAGAAATTTCGTCCGCAAAAGCGGTGGTCGTGGCTCGCGAATTCTTCCCCCTCACGCCTGATCGGAAGGCTTGCGACCCTCGTCAAGAAATCGCTCCCGCCCAACCGAAGCGAAAATTTACGGCCTCCCTCGCCGGCGATGAGACCTTAATTGTGGAGAAGAAGGCGAGGTACAATACAAAGCAGAAGGACAAGAAAGAGGCCTCGCAATGTGAAGAAGAGGAAGATAGACGCAACGGCGTTTCCACAGAGTTGGTGCTGCTCTTCGACCCTTATAAGATCAAGAAGAAGCTTACAAAGAGCGATCTTGGCCACCTGTCGAGGCTCTTGATTCCGAGGGCTTGCGTGACGACCCACGTGCTCTGGTGCATGAGCGAGGAGACAGTGACTCGAGTCATGAGCGGCGAGGGTGCTGAAGTCGTAGTATGGGATGCGGACGTGCGATCCGAGCACCGACTGGTGTTTGCTTTCTGGGCGTCGTCAGGGGCCTACGTCCTGAAGGGGTGTTGGATCAAGGAGTTCGTGCAGCGGAGGGGTTTGGCGGCTGGCGATGAGATTGGGATTTATTGGGATCCTACTGCTAACAGGTTCCATTTCAGCCTTCTCCGCAAGGCGAATTAGACTTGATCTTGAATTAGTATTTCTCTTGTTCGATGACCAACAGAAAAAAAGTTTTGATCTTTAGAAAAGGATTTTAGTGATGGAATTTTATTGTATGCAATCAAGCAATCTCTTTCCTCCGGAAATTCAATTTTAGATGAGTGTTTCTTTTGAAACCTGGTTCCATGTCTTTAATTTTCTTGTGTGAGTTTCTTAGTCACTGTGGTGATATATACAATTTCCTGTTTTGAATGGGCAAAGTCGATTATGGTAAAGTAATCACTGTGGTGATCGTGTAGATAAGAAACGCACGACAAAGAGTCCATCAACAGTGGCGAATGGAGAGAATTTACGATACAGACTCGGAGGTTAGAGAGAAATATTTAGTTTACTGTTTCAATGGGATGGTGAGTGACGTAATCAATCTACACAGTCAAATTTTAAGAGTGCACTTGGAGTGAGAGAGGCTTTCCTAACTAGAACATTACTTGTTTGGTCGTCTTTTATGGCAGCTCCTTGTCAGGGACTGTTTGTATGTTGTAGGAAGAACAGACATAGCCAGAGCCGAAATTTAATTCTTCAGAGATTGTGCTGTTCAATAGGCAGTTTTGAACAGGAAGGAAGAAATATCAGATGCAGAGATTAGCTCTGTTTAGATTTATAGTTGTAGAGGTAAATGATTGTTGAGCTATGTTGGCCTTTCCGTTAAATAACCGAGTCATTGTGAAGTGAAAGATTACAATCCAAATAGATATTTGGTCATTGCATCGATATATTTTGATTATGTAGTAGCTGGGTTACTTGGCACATATGCACCAAGAGGCTAAGCACCCTTTTGGGCAGCATATTCTAGATTATTTCCTGCGGCCTTCACTTCATACAGGCTCCACCCTTGGCTAGAGATTAAACTAGCTACTCTTGGTTGTTGTAGCAAATGTACAGCATATGATTTGTTTCCCTTCCCATGTGTACTCGAGCAGACTGAAAAATCAACTACATTGATCCCATTTCTGTGACTGAGAATAGTGAGCAACCATATACATGTCCTGTAGAATTTCACTGTTGTGCTTCCATAAGGGCACGATGACAATGTCCATGTTGACTGTGCAATCAAATTCTGAATGTTGGTGCACTTTTTTGGTCTAGCTGATTTGCAATTGATATTTTATGGCAGTCTTTGGTGTATGTCTAAACTCAAATTTTCATGCACTCAAAATATTTAGCTTCTCTGTAGAGCGGATGATGTCACTGTATTTATAGACCAGCAGTTTCAAAGTGAAATTAGACAAACTGCTTCAGTTTATTTAGTTTGGCAGAATGATCACGGCACCCTAGTCCCTGGTGGTGTCATTGTTCATATGTAGCATTGTGCCTTTCTTATTTTGAAAATGTACTGATTCTTCCTGCTATTAGGCTATGAGATCGAACCTCCATCCCTTTGCCCCTGCCCCCCTCCTCCATCCACTAGACCAATTTCCCTGAAGCTTTTATCAGTTACAAGAATTAGGGAAACGGCCATATGAGTAAAGCGTAATGAAACTTTAAATTTGCCACAATTATAGTGAACAACTTTGTAGATCAGACAAATACTTTAAGCTGAGTTTGGGGAAAGAAGTTGGACTTCCTGGTTGAACTATATGAAGACTATTTGCAAAAATACAGGGAAGACTATGCTTTGCATCTTGTAATGGAGCATCCCATATTTTCAGGGATAACTCTTCATACCGTAGGATAAAATGGTGTTACCATCTTTTCTGGAATAGCGAAACTGCTTGTACCGATGTCTTTGGTCGACACCTGAAAGAGTAAATGAAGGGGAGGAAAAGAGAATAGATGTCACAAAAGAGTACAGATTTGTTTGTGTACTGAGAGTAGCCAAAAGAACCATTGCATATGTGGCAATTATGGGTTTTCAGTTGATTGACGCAAGGAGTTTTACTTCGGCTAATGGATAGCTGAGTAGCATCAGATGCCAAAACCGAGTTTTGCTCAATATACAAGCAAAAGGATGTGTAGTGTATTTTTTGAAAGTAGTGAATGCAAAGTGTGATTATAGATACTAGGGTAAATAAAGTGTAATTGTCTCTTAAAATGTATGCAGAAGGCCTAAGAAAGCATCTAAGTTCTATTATTTGGTCTCTTAAATGATTCATAAAGGATTCGGCCCCTCAGCTTTCTCTGGGCTTCCGGTGTTTTGAAATTCATTGGAATGGCAATTGACATCAATGACTTTTGCCTTCTGGCTGTTCTTTGTTGAAACATTTGCGTTTCAACCTCTGTTAGCTTGGCAATTCTACTTCCTATTTAATTGCAAGATTTGGCATTGCTGTTTCAGCCCCCGAAAGACCGTGTTCTCTCTTCTTTAGCCTTTCTACTCCCTACTACTCAGTTCATTTGTCTATGAATCTCTAAGAAATTGTTATCTTTCTGTGTAATCATTTGTTTTCCTTTAGGCTCAGTCGCTGAAGACATGTTTCACTGGCAAGCAACGTGTCTTTCTTGTTCCAATTCACTTCCCATTTCCCACCAGCCTATCCATTTAAACCACCAAAGGTATTGAAGGATGATGACCTAGCTGTACGTTGTGATACATTACCATATTATTGCTCTCTTCCTTTGGGCCTTTGCCATCTCATTTCTTCCTGTAATTACCTAATCTTGCCCTAGATGTTATCCTTTTGTCAATCATAAGTTCTTCCTCCATTGCTTTGGAAGGACCTGATCAGATAGTTGAGCCATCTTACAAATCTTGGCTTTACTAAATTCTCAAATATATTTTCTTCCTTATTTCCTCTTTGATGTCCTTCATTTCCTTGTCTGCATTATTACATGTGAGTAGATTTTGCTAATACTCCCTCCTTTGTGACGATAGTAGTATTTTTTTTAAATGCATCAACCAAGAGCCCTATTGGAGCTATTTGATCAATTTCATTTTCTAGTAACTTGACGATTAAATATATATTGAAAGACGGCCTGCTATTGAGTCATTGACCTTGGATATGGCAGTCTGTTGGAAACCATCAGTTATTGTTATGGCAGATGCCTTTTTCAGATGCCTACACCGAGATCTGCTTTCCTTGCTTCACTAAGGTCTGAGGACTGATTGTTGTGGCATTTAATGTGTTTAACACGTTAGAAGTCTAAATAAGGGAATAAGTTATCTGAATGCTGCCGATTGAAACTTGTCAACTGAGCGTGCTTTTAGGAAGTACCGAATTGGCAAATGCTGAAATCATGAATGTGGTGATTATATATTTCTGCCATGTGTTGCGTGCTATTTAGACTGGTAGAACAGGAATTATGTCCACTTCTTGCTGTTGCTGCTACTGCTGCTAACACAATTTCTGCCCATATTTTCTTCTTAATTTTTTCCTCAAGGTTGTTGCTTAATTGTTCCTTGGTTTTCACATGTTTGATTCAGGATGGAAGTCTTTCACCCGATATTTAGCATTTGCCTTGACATATTGAAGGAGCAGTGCAGTGGAGCCCTGCCCTCACCATTTCGAAGGTGAACTTTTAAAATGAGCTGATCTTATCTGGCTATTAGGCTATGAGATCGAACCTCCAACCTCACGCCCCTGCCCCCATCCTAGTTAAGGTAAATCTGAGGCGTCCAAGTACTGATGTTGTTTGTGAAAACAATCTGTACATTTTTATTTCCACGTAAACATCAAGGCGCATTTGAGATGGTGCATTTCTAGCCTTGGTTCTCTTGTACTTTGAGTGTATATGTCTTACCCCATATATACTTTGAAAAACTATTTTATCAAACTGCAATTTAGTTCCTGGAAACTGCAGTGTTACCTGATGGCCAATCACCAGTTTCATGCTACTTTGTTCGAGGCTTTCCCTAAAGACCTCAAAAGTTTTGTCAAAGACTACAGATTGTTCTTTTCAAGGAAGTCGGTTGGAGAAACCTAGTACCGAATTTTTTTGTAAGTATCCTAAATGCTGCTTTGCATCCTAGAATGTCATCAAATGTTTGGTTCTGTATGTTCAGAAGTGTCAATGTTGCTCTGTTGTGATCACTATCTGTTAAATGTGACCACTACCGCTGGGTGGACAACTGTTCTTATTTCTGATTTCCAGGTGCTGCTCTCAATCTGTTCACCATTGACAGACCCAAATCCCGACGACCCTCTGTCCCAGAAAACGCGCGCATGAACAAGACCGACAAGGCCAAGTATGAGCGAGCCGTGGGTAATTCAAGTAGGGTTTCGGGTCTCTGTGAACTTTGGTCTCGCAGTTCATATCTGTCAGCGAAAGACCGTCGTCCTTAGATCCGAACAAATGAAGTCTGTAAGATCACCCTCCTGAAAACACATGCTCCTCTACATTGTTTTGCAACATGATGCCATGAAGAAAGACTTATCTGTAACACCATAACCAAACCAAATCTTAACTTGGACAGCTCTATAACAATGGGAAAATGTCATCTGGTTCAACATCTTGACTTTAGGCTGTGGCTTGACTTTGGATATCAACATGGTTGAACATCTTTTATAAATATTATGCTCATTAATGCTTTTGAATAGTGAGCAATTTTGGTTATAAGAAATTTAGAGCTTCATTCTGAAAATATGCTGTTTAGAATATTTATTGGCTTTGTAGAGAACATGACTCTTTGGCTATGATTAATCTAGAACGTAAAATGCAAATTCCTAGTTATCTAATTTATATTGGCTGCAAATAGTCTTGAAGTCTTGCTTCCTAGGTGGAAAAATATCAAACATAAAGAACGCACTCTCTTATCCACTGTATGATGTCATAAATAATAGACATTCATTCTTGACACTGCAAAATGATTAATTATATGATGCATAAGCTTATACGAAGAAATCAATCATTAAAAGTAGGATCGGTTGCGCGAATTGCCAATCTCTCGCTACGATTGATAATTCCATACATAAGGAGACGATAAATGAGCCATTGTCCATACAACTTGTATGAAGCGTACAGATTTATGGAGCGAAAAATTATGAATAGACATTCAGTTCAAAAGTATAGAGATTGAAAGTGAGATTCAAATTGTTAATAGACATTCGGTTTAAAAGTATAGAGATTAAAATACGTGAGATATTTTAATATCTGCTTTTACATTTGTGCATAAAGCCCAAAATACCCCTTAACACATGCTCCATGTTTGAGGTAATCAGTATGCGTGTTTAGTATGTTTGAGGCAAGATGAGTAATTTCGCTTCATGTTATGTCTTGAGCATATTACTGATTAAAGGTTTTTTTTTTTATGTTTAACTTTTGTATCCCTATAATATATTTCTATTTTTGGACCTAAGCAAGTCCTTAAAAGGTTTCATCTCAATTCTCGTCCGGATCTCGGGATCACCAAGATGTAAAACTTTTAGAGGGTATTCTTTCTCCCTAAAGAAAACAAAAATATAAGGAGGATTGGAAGAACAGGACGTGCGAACATCGGCATGTTAATTAGAATTTGATCTCCAGAGCTCCTTTTTCAAGTATTGGATAAGAGCATACATTTTGTGTGACCTCTACACCACGCAATAATAACACGCAAAACATTACATCAATCAGAAGTCATTGGTTCCAAAATGAAGGCACCGTGCTATCGAGCGAGGCGGCGTAATTGATCTGTCACAACATATTAATTGTCCAATTCGCAGCACAGAATTTTTTTTTGACAAGAAAACATGTTTTATTCCTCTTTTCTGGAAAAAAAAGAAGGCTCGCGCTATTTTAACTCCCTTATTGGCTCCCGACACCCCCTTTGTATTGAATCGATTATATTATTCCTTGCAAGTCTCACTTTTGATTTAAAATAATTTCTTACCTTTTTTCCTCCTTTTTTTTTCAATTTTTACTGAAAGAAAAAACTTATCCACGTCTCTTCCGAACAACTTTTTTGCAAAGTAGTAGCCATTTCCCGATCCCTTCTGAACTTATTCTCCATTATAATAATCTAAGTGACCGCTAATTTTATAATGGAGTAAGGAAATGATAGTTTTATATGCAAATTGTTACTTTATTTCAATAGATCATCCTCATGATTGTTAATTTTTTGACTTCGATTTTTTTGTACAAATTTACGAGAATTTACTTAAAAATTGAATATTGTGGCAGATGTATGCATTATATACAATTTTCTCAAAGATTATTCTCTTATTTGTGCTTAAGTTATTTTTTGAATGACAGTTTTTTAGTAAAAAAAAGAAATATACAACACATCAACAAAATAATTAGTTTTTTTATCTGAAAAAAAAGTAGTTAGCTATCTACCAAATAAACTACTTTTTTGGAAAAGATATACACCAATTATAGAAGAAAACCTAAAAAAAAAAGGAAAAAAAAGAAGGCAAACATTAGTCTTATATCAAGAGTGGCCCCACAATTTAACCTTAATAAATGTTGTTCGAGAGGAGCACAGTAGTTTGTCCATAGTAGAATTGAAACAAAAGAAAAAAAAATAAAAGAGTTAAGAAATAATCTTAAATTAAGAGTGAAACTTGCAAGAGAGACCAATTGAGTTCTCTCCCCTTATTAATAATGTGGTAGCAAAGCTATATTGAGATTTGCCAAATTGATACAAGAACGTTTTCCTAAGGAATCGGGACTTTCCTATGTCCCCATTGTCATCCTAGAAGCTTGTCGAGAGGTGTATTTTGTCTAAGCACGCTTTGCTCCGATGATTTACTCTTTGCCCTCATAGGATCGGGGTAGACCACATGTGTTTCTTCGACTTTAACTCACTTACTGAAAGGATCTTGCTCTCATCTGTCACGGCCCCACACTTCCTTAGCTGCGTACAGCCTGTGTGATAGCACGACGGATAGCTTTATCATATCGGATCGTACCACTTCCAGTGTAAGTTCGAGTGTCTGGTCTATCGAGCAAAATACGCAGAATACTTTAGACACGATAACTGATTTTTGCCTGCTATGACCTCATCAGAAGAGCCGATTGGTTCGATCAAAATAAAAATTCAACCAAAATAAAAATTCAACGTAAAAGAGGTGTCGGGAACCGATAAGGGAGTGGAAATAGCGCGAGCCAAACATAAATAACATTTTGTACAACTGCAAAATCGGCATCATAAATACGTTTGTACATTTCCGCGCGGCCGGAAACAGATAGAGAATAATCGGCGGCCGGCTTTGCTGCGAAATGCAAGAGAGGAGTCCGGAGCGAAGTCATTCCACAGAACCGGTAGTCGTCTCTTGTGCAGTGCGCTCCTCTCTGAATCGAAATCTCCGGCGAGCCGTCTCGCCGGCGTTTCCTCCGACCGGTCAAGCTCCGTCGATGGCGGCTTCCGCTTCAGCTTCTTCCTCCGAGCTTTGACCTTCCCCTCTCTCTCTCTCTCTCGCTCTCTCCATCCATGGCGGTGGCCGCCAAGTCCCGGACCGTCGTCGAGCCCTCCTCAGCCCAGTTCGATCTCTCCGGTCACTCCCGCTCGCCGGTCCGATCCGTCGCCCTCTCCACCCTCTCCGACGCCCAAACCCTAGTCTACCTCGGGACCCAGTCCGGCGCCCTCCTGCTGCTCCAGGTCGTCGCCGCCTCCTCCTCCTCTCCCACCGACGCTCCTCCTCCCCCCTCC